GATAACATGATGATAACGTGATGATAACACGATAACACGATAACATGATGATAACGTGATGATAACACGATAACGCGATGATAACACGATGATAACACGATGATAACACGATGATAACGCGATGATAACATGATGATAATGCGATAACACGATGATAATGCGATGATAACACGATGATAACACGATGATAACGCGATGATAACACGATGATAACGCGATGATAACACGATGATAACGCGGTGATAACGTGATGATAACGCGAAGATAACACGATAACACGATAACGGGATGATAACGCGATGATAAAGCGATGATAACACGATAACGCGATGATAACGCGATGATAAAGCAATGATAACGTGATGATAACATGATGATAACGTGATGATAACACGATGATAACGCGATGATAACGCAATAACGTGACAATAGCTCGATGATAAAATGATGTTAACGCGATAACACGATAACACGATGATAACGCGATGATAACGCAATAACGTGACAATAGCTCGATGATAAAACGATGTTAACGCGATAACACGATAACACGATGATAACGCGATGATAACACGATAACATGATGATAATGCAATGATAACACGATTACACGATAACACGATAACATGTTAACGTGTCCATCACTAATAAAAACAGTTCATATGAACAAAACGATGTTTTTATAAACCTAAACCTGAACTATGATTTAGTCCTTTCTACACCACTTAAACCCGTAGTTCTTTAACTGTGAGTGGCGTCCCCCCAGGAGGTCCTCAGGTGGGGCGTRATGATGCTCTGTTGGGTTTTTTTATTTTAATTTTTTCTACCTACAAACTGAAACATGTAAACAGAAATAAATGTTTATGTCTCATTTCCTTTAGACTTGAATATTTGATTCTTTTTTTTTTATTTTATTTATTTGTTGTTCTGAGCATCAGGGTTTTTTGGGGGGGGCATTAACATTTTATTTTCCAACAGAAATCGTTTGAGATCCACCCACTCCAGGAGTCTTCCTGTGGAGCCAGAGGTGGAGTCCAGTGATGACTACTGTAAGCACTTCATCTACAAACCCGTCGTAGGCGCTCCCTGATGAAGCGCAGCTCCTCGGTGGAGTGGAGGGASAGCAGGTGGGCTCCCATCATCTGACAGCCCAGAGACACGGAGCGCCAGTCGAACGGCTGCTTGGCCAGCAGATACTCGGCTCCGCGGTAAAACACCCAGGGCTCGCTCTCTGCAACGAGACCGACCGCCGTCAGGAAACACCACGGCAAACAGGGACAAACTCTAAAAAACAAAACCCCACCTCCTGCCCTCAACCCACTTTGACCCACCTACAGCAAAAAGGTGATACTGTTAGCAAAATATCTCATGAACTACTGGTCAGATTTTTATGAAGTTATCAGAAATTTAAAACACCGGATGTCCATCTCCAGTTTATAAACTTGTAAAGCCACACCCCTTCAGCTGATCAAACATAGCTAATGCACCAGTTCGACTGACACCGAGCTACATTTGGTGTGGTAGTAGCTGAGAGTCATTCCTGATTAATTTAGTTTAAATCTGAAAGGCTGCGGGTGACGTGCATTCATTAATGAGATGAAAGAAGTTTAATTTATTTACGTGTCGCTTTGGTTCCATCCAGACTTTTAATCAGCAGCTCTTTGATCTACAGACTTTAGGTTTTTATTCCCCTCAGGTCCAGCTCTGCTCCTCTTCAGACGGGTTTCATTTGTTCAACTTACTTTACTCAGTTTCTCACTGAGCTGTCACAAAACTGCAACAAGCTTTTCTCCAAACTCCAGAAACAGACAGCTGTGGTTTCACAGACAGGAAATCAGATGGTTTCACAGGTAGATGTCTACTGCCTCGAGTGCGACACCTAGTGGTGTTTAATGGTGGCATCAAAACAAACATCTAAAGGTGCAAAATGGAACTTGAGACCTGGTAAAAACAGGGCTGTCCTGGTGTCKACACACTGCTCTCAACATTTAAATAATATCCTCTCGTTTGTAACTGTGGGACTCCACCCTTACTTTAACCCTCCTGCTGCCCTTGGCTCAAAATGTCCCCTGGGGTTTTTTTGACCCAAGGACAGCAGAAGKGTTGAGAACCATCATCAGATAAACTCGGTTGGTTCTTATCTTCAGTCTCAAGCATTTTCATTAACACCCATTTTTTCTTCTGTACGATTTTCGGCACGTAACTCATTCCGCAATTTTTGTTCTATTTTAACAATTTATACATCAAAACATTCAAATCCTTCAGGACATTCCAGATATGACTTTTGGTATTTCAGTTTACTTTTTGACATTTTTAATTTTTATGTCATTTTATTCTCGCTGAAAATGAAGAGCTGTCGTCAACATCCTTAAAACTCTTGATCTTTTCTGCATGTTTTTACCTTTTGTTTTGGTTCTGCTTTTTAAACAATCAATCTGATCCTTTCAGCTACTCTCCTGCTAACCTTAACTGTTATGATACTTTTAGCTTCTTTCAGCAAATTTATTATTTTTATTATTAGCTACTTTCTAGTAACACCAGCTGACTTCTGCCTTTTGCAGCTATTTTCAGATAATTTCACCTTTTTATGCTAATTTCATTTCCTTACTGCTTAATTTAGCAAACATGTGCTCTTTCTGCTTCTTTGTGCTAATTTCTGCTTTTCAGCTACTTTTAGGGTTTCTGTTCATTTCAGCTGTTTTAGCTATTTTACAGCTAATTGCAACATTTTTGTACTTAGTTTCTCTCCTTTCAATGTCTGGTGGCTAATTTAAACTTGTTTCTGCTACTTTTAGCTTCTTTTTRCTAATTTTAGCTACTTTTACTTGAGTTAACCTCAGACATTTCAACAAAAATCTTTCGTCGACACACTTTCACAACRCATTTTCACAGGAAATATAAATTCTCTATTTTTTTCTAAAAAGAGAAAAGTACTCACGCTCCGTGTACCAGTAGGGTTTCACCAGTTTGTCACCTGGAATAAAACCAGACGTCAGTTCAGAGGTGTGTTTTTACAGCGTGGATGTGGGCGGAGCTACAGCAGCTCTGGACCTTCACCTCGGGACAGTTTGCAGATCCACTCGTGCTTGGTGTCGCAGCGCCGCGGCGTCAGAGCGTTGGTCAGGTCTCCGTACACGGCGCAGTCCCGGCGGTCGTCCTCCTCGTTTTTATCCTCGATGAACGACGTCACCACCTGAGGGGAGGAGACGTCAAAGAGCCCCGCCTTCTCCACGCGTCAACACCAGGAAGTAATCTGTGACAGACTTACCGGAGAACCGTCGGACCACTCCCAGGACCCGAGGTGCTCGGGGTCTCTCTTGTTCAAACCTACCCAGAACCAACGGCCCTCTGTTCTAAAACGAACACAAAACAGGATCAGAAAACAAAAACCTAAAAACTCATACCGTCTCAGTTTAAAGCTGTTTTTAAACTTAAATGTTAATATTTGTAACAATAAAAGCAACTTTTATTCATTAATATCAATAAAACCCTCCTCCTCACTGAGTCACAGTCAATAAAACCTGATCTGGCTGTTATCAGCCCTCGTAACGGTCTAACTGCTGCGCCCCCAGGGCCGGTACCAACCCTTCAAACATGGTGCTCAGCAGGTGTTTGACAAAGACCTGCTCCTCATAGTGCTGGAAACTGGCCAGCTGAGCCCCGAGGGCCTGGCAGAAGAAGTCCGCTTCCACCCAGGAGCGCTTCATCAGGACCTTCTCATCGTGGAACACCTAAGGAGAAACAGGTCAGGTGCCGATGAGAGGAAGTCACGTTTTGTCGTCATTTAGTTTGAAGACGCTGCTGGTGAACCAGGACCTCCTATCATAAAGGTGGTCAGACWGTGAAGTGGGTAGGAGTGGTGGACAAATAGAGCTGGGTGTCATCTGCATAACAGTGGACTGGATATTATGTTTCCGATTCATTGATGTAGGGCTGCAGCTACTGATTATTTTAATAATCGATTAATCTATCGAGTATTCTGATGATTAATCGAGTAATCGGATATATAAAAAAATTGTCACGTTCTGCAGTAATTACTTAAACTTATTTTATGAGAAATACAATTATTTAATATTGTGAATGAGGTAATCTACACTTGCTTGCACAAATTACGTTAGCCAAAACATACTACTTCCTTTTATATCTGTAACATGACAGATTATCACAGATTAAAGTAACCAAAGTGAACATAAAACAAATACCTGTTGTTAACTCCAGACGCGTTCGGTACATGCAGCAGCTGTTTTTGTTCCGGTGCAGAAACATTGAGGATGTGCAGAACATTGCGCGTTGTCATCTTTTCTGTTTAGTTTTAAATGTTCCCATGCTTTTTATAATTTGCCGTTTTCTGAGCGCTTCATTTTGGCACTCTTCGTCTTCTTCTAAAATTAATATAGCGTTTAGCAAGCATGACGTGTTAATAGTGTAAGCGTTAGCGGAAGAGCTAATGTTGTAGCATTGGGTAACACAAATAACATAGATGAAACTGCACTGTTTATAACAGTATGTATTTTTTACGAAGCTTCAAGACAGATAATTTGCCTCGAGGATTTTTTCCAATCAAATTACTTGAATTATTAGAGGAATCGTTTCAGCCCTAGTATGATGAACAGGAGAGGACCGAGGATAGAACCTTGTGGAACACCAGATCAGAGAGGGGTTCAAGATAGCCTTTGACACAGATCAAGATCATTTTTCTCTGATTGATTTTAGTTTGTAGAATATTTTTAATCGAGCTGATAATGAATGATAAATCTGTAAACGACACGAACAGATCATCTGTAAATATGAATCTCTGTGAATCCTAACAGGATCATTTACATATCAAACCAATGAATCTCTGCTATGAGATGTCAGATAAAAAAGAACCCCAGAATAAACCTATCAGACCTTGAAGCAATGCAGCAGTCCAGAGTGTGACTCCCAGCCTGGAGGACAGGGGGCGTAAGCATCAATGTGATGCTCCGGCAGCTCGGCGTCGTGGAAGCTGCTGATGCTCTGTTTACACACCGACAGGGCTTTATGAGACCTGCAGTCCTTCACCTCCCACCGACCCAAAGAAGGTCCGCCCGACATGGCAACACAGCCCCCGGTACTGACTGGAAACACAGAAATATCCATTTTAATACCAACGCAGGACAAGAACCGGCCTTCATCACTGAAGAACCAGAGTTTTTAACCAACCGGGCTGGTGTTTGTTCCAGTTTGTGAAGATCAGAGGCAGGGAGGAGTTGTTGTGAGGAAGCCAGCTGTACTCCCCCTTCCTCCCCCGGTCCCTGAGCCCGATCCAGTAAAACATGCTGCTGTTGGCACCGCTCGCACTCAGCAAACTGTTCACAAAGGCCTGCTCGAACCTGCCAGGGCGAGGAAGAGGAGAGGAGGAGAGGACTGATGGTGGGGCAGAGAAGAACACATAAAGAAGCAAACAATCCACAGTTTTTGTGCTATTTCAACAATTCTTTTATCAAAACATTCAGCTCATTTATGCCTCGAGTGCTGTGACGTTTGTATTGCAGCAATTAATACTTTTTCAGCTATTTAGCTTTTTGGGCCACTTTTTTCTTGTTGAAAATGAATGGAAGCAGTTATAGATAATGGATGGATGGATGGATGGATGGATGATGGTTTGTTAATTTGGTTGGTTGGTTGACAGAATGAATGAATGAATGAATGAATGAATGTTAATTTGGTTGGTTGGTTGAAAGAATGGATGGATGAAATATGAGTAAAAAATTTTAGGCTTACAGTTCTTGTCACAGTATC